GTCTGGCTCATGGACACATTCCCAATGAAAGAATAGACCATTCCAAGCTTTCACTTGTTGTTAAACAATTGTTTAAGCAACTCTATTCAACTCTTATTCCTTTTCTGGACGTTCTTGTTAATCATAATGCTAATGGCTTTACAGCTTCTGTCTATCATAAAGAAATATTTTCAACCAGTTTGAAAACTTTATACCCAACACAGTCTAATTCTCTGCCTATTAAATACCTTACCTATTCCTATCTAGCCCTTCACAAAGAAATTACTTCCATACAAAGCATTCTTTTTGCAACAGCCACCTAAAGCATTTCTTGGAGAAATTAACTTACTCATTCTTAACTCATATGTTTGTCAAACCACCTAAGATCCCACTGTACCCACTCTACCTTTATGCATCTGCTTACCATATCTTGGAAGACAGAGCCCCCTTATCAAGAAACAGTTCATTGTGAGCAAACTTCAAGTCTCGTATATTGGTGAAACATTTGAATGTACAGGTAGATCTATGAAAAGTCCACTGTCTACCAACACAATACAGAAACAAGGCACCAGATTTCTCTTTCCAATTTAAATCCTCTCAAAAGCCAAACATGATACTGAACTTCTAATAAAAGAAATGTTATACACTCTTCTTCCATCACTAAATAACACACATTTGATTTAAATCTTTTATAACTTATCTATTTCATATCCACTACATACTATTTATTTTCTCTTGTTCTACCTTTTATATTCAAACTGTTTACTTGTCATGTTTGTTATGTACCTTTAGAGTACTGAAGATTTAATAAATGCTTCATTTAATTACATTTGTGTTTTTCTTTATTACTAACTTACATTTTCCAATAAATGAATCAATTGTAGGATCTTTATAATGGTTGAAGGCCTTAACCATATGACTCATGATTCTTCATACTCTCCTCTTCAATATGCTTTATAAACTGTCACTAACTTTTAGTTATAATAAACTACAAACTCTAAATTGTAACTATTAATGAAATTTTTTAAATAACTGAATATAAGCTGTCTTGTTATCATAGCTTAAGGGACTTATTCAGAGGCCTTACCTGATTAGTGGATGCTGTAGAAGTGGTGACAACAGGTGGCGCTATCCGAACACGTTTGGCACTTGGACCATGGTTGTTGTCTTGATTGCCTTGATTATTTGCTACAGTAGTCTAAATAATAATTTCGTTATAATATCATTGAAGCATACATCTTTGTTCAAATAATAATAACAATATAATTTTATTTCAGCAAACAAACAGTAACTTCATCTCACTTGAACAAATTCACTACTGACTGCAAAAAGTTAATCATACAAGAAATATAAACAGGAAAGTCAGTTAAATGATATTCAAATAGTTTAAGGAATATCAACTGCTTAGCTTATATGGTAGCCATATCCTCCCACAAAAGTCACTGGTTTAATTTACAAAAAATATAAATGGAGATAAGCATGTCATCACTGAACATAACATTATGTTGTTGCTTTATATCACAAATATGATTAACTTTACTTGTGTTTATGTTGTTGCTTTATATCACAAATATGATTAACTTTACTTGTCTTTATGTTGTTACTTTATCTCACAAATATGTTTAACTTTACTTGTGTTTATGTTGTTACTTTATCTCACAAATATGTTTAACTTTACTTGTGTTTATGTTGTTACTTTATCTCACAAATAAGTTTAACTGTACTTGTGTTTGTGTTGTTACTTTATCTCACAAATATGTTTAACTGTACTTGTGTTTGTGTTGTTACTTTATCTCACAAATATGTTTAACTGTACTTGTGTTTGTGTTGTTACTTTATCTCACAAATATGTTTAACTGTACTTGTGTTTGTGTTGTTACTTTATCTCACAAATAAGTTTAACTATACTTGTGTTTATGTTGTTACTTTATCTCACAAATATGTTTCATTTACTTGTGTTTGTGTTGTTACTTGATCACACAAATATAGTTAACTTTACTTGTGTTTATGTTGTTACTTTATCTCACAAATATGTTTAATTTTACTAGTGTTTGTGTTGTTACTTTATCTCACAAATATGTTTAACTGTATTTGTGTTTGTGTTGTTACTTTATCTCACAAATATGTTTAACTGTACTTGTGTTTGTGTTGTTACTTTATCTCACAAATAAGTTTAACTATACTTGTGTTTATGTTGTTACTTTATCTCACAAATATGTTTCATTTACTTGTGTTTATGTTGTTACTTTATCTCACAAATATGTTTAACTTTACTTGTGTTTATGTTGTTACTTTATCTCACAAATATGTTTAACTTTACTTGTGTTTATGTTGTTACTTTATCTCACAAATATGTTTAATTTTACTAGTGTTTGTGTTGTTACTTTATCTCACAAATATGTTTAACTGTATTGGTGTTTGTGTTGTTACTTTATCTCACAAATATGTTTAATTTTACTAGTGTTTGTGTTGTTACTTGATCACACAAATATAGTTAACTTTACTTGTGTTTATGTTGTTACTTTATCTCACAAATATGTTTAATTTTACTAGTGTTTGTGTTGTTACTTTATCTCACAAATATGTTTAATTTTACTAGTGTTTGTGTTGTTACTTTATCTCACAAATATGTTTAATTTTACTAGTGTTTGTGTTGTTACTTTATCTCACAAATATGTTTAACTGTATTGGTGTTTGTGTTGTTACTTGATCACACAAATATAGTTAACTTTACTTGTGTTTATGTTGTTACTTTATCTCACAATATATGTTTCATTTACTTGTGTTTGTGTTGTTACTTTATCTCACAAATATGTTTAACTGTACTTGTGTTTGTGTTGTTACTTTATCTCACAAATAAGTTTAACTATACTTGTGTTTGTGTTGTTACTTTATCTCACAAATATGTTTAACTGTATTTGTGTTTGTGTTGTTACTTGATCACACAAATATGTTTAACTGTATTTGTGTTTGTGTTGTTACTTGATCACACAAATATAGTTAACTTTACTTGTGTTTATGTTGTTACTTTATCTCACAAATATGTTTAATTTTACTAGTGTTTATGTTGTTACTTTATCTCACAAATATGTTTAATTTTACTAGTGTTTGTGTTGTTACTTTATCTCACAAATATGTTTAACTGTATTGGTGTTTGTGTTGTTACTTGATCACACAAATATAGTTAACTTTACTTGTGTTTATGTTGTTACTTTAACTCACAAATATGTTTCATTTACTTGTGTTTGTGTTGTTACTTTATCTCACAAATATGTTTAACTGTACTTGTGTTTATGTTGTTACTTTATGTCACTTCATTATACAATTCAGGGTAGCTTTCAGAGAACAAACTCTTCCAACAAAAACTGAATTAGAAGACCTTTTGTATCTATTTCACTTGAACTTTGTTTTTCTTACTTTATTTTTTGTTTTAAATTTGCTTTGTATTTACTTAATACTTGTTATATTTTTATTCACATTAAAAAAAAAACGTAACACAAGAAACAAAAATATACAGTTACAACATGATTTACATGTGTGTATTTCCTTTATCCATCTCAGTGTATTATCTACACTATTTTACAAGTGTACCATAAGTGTACTAAGTATACTTTGTACCTACTTTACTAGCATCTGCTTTATCCTCTTGTTCCTCATCTGTCAAAAATTCTCTCTTTGGATATGGAATGGGGTATCCAGCAAAAACACTATTCATGACAAAATAACCAGGTTAAACTACGATACTAACAAAATACAGCCAGCTTCAATATCATGTACAGATTCTAAAGCTTTATCAGGATATTTTGCTATTTTAGGCAAAATTAACAGACTACCTATATAGAGCCAGATTAAGTATGTTTGTACTAAAGTTCTACACAAATGGCTTTTTTTATTATTCCATTATTTTATATGAAACTAACAAACTTCCAAGATACAACCAGATCCAATAATTTTATTAAGATTCTAAATAGCAGGTTTGTTATTCCACTATATTATATGGAACTAATAAACTATCTAGATACAGCTGGATTCAATATAATTTTATTAACCCTTTTGCAACGGGCTTGGTATAAAATACATGAGTTCATATACACAGTTGCACACGTTAAGTATTTATACTATAACTTTTAGTGCAGTAAGTGTACCTTAACAAAATTTAGTAGACTTTTAGTAAACATTACAAGTATTTTGTATTCAAAAAACCAGATTTTTTAATGAAGTATTTTTATTAAAGATTTTTTTGTGAAAATATCAAATCTGTTTCATTACTAGTCAGAGTGCGAAATGATTTACATGTTATGATTAAAACACTATTCTTCGTCCCCAAAATTTCAAATATTATTTATGTAATCTCTAAACCTCCTAAATACATTTCAAACATTTGTTTTCAGTAAAACTTTAAATTTTGTCTGTTATTTTCTCTTACTTAACTATATGGGGTCTGTTAATTTGACCAACCTTGTAACCACCATAAAAATTAGGCAATAAATATAAATTATGCAATTTTCATTCTGGAAGGACTACTTCTTGTAACACAAAAACACAAATGTTTTGTCTAAGTAGCTTTAGTCTCATAACATTATACATTTATATGTATTTATTATATTGACCTTCCAGTCGTGCCTGGCTAACATTACAGAAGTTGCAATGATGCGGCACTCATATTACCATATCCAAGAAAATGAAACTGGCTTTCACAAAGTGACCTGTCTTTGCTGTATTTTAATAGACTAGTATTTTGTAAAATACAGTCACATTTCAGTTATAAAGCATTATATATGTATATAGATTATTACTATTTACAAATAACTTCTTAAACCTATTTTTATTAAAAAATAGAACACTAAATAAAGAATTAAAGAAAAAATTATCTCTTCTAGTTCTGACCTTTGCACTCATACTTATTTTATATTCTAGCTTGTTAATATCAGTAATTTGAGTTCTTAATTCATACTAAACTATAAACCTAGTATTTTGACATCACAAACATCTAATCTGAACCAATGCTGCATTCAACATACCATGTGACACACAAAAACTTGTGTTTGTGTTTTTTAATATTTACTTTTAAAATTAAGAAATTATATAATGTATAATACTCAAATTTTAATTATAATCTACAGTTTGATACTAAACTTGACATAAATTCATGAAACAGTAGTTCAATAACATTTTGAATACAATGATATGCCCTTTGACCAATGGTGACAGGGCTAAGGTTCTAAATAGGAGGTTTATTATTCCATTATTTTAAATTAAAGTAACAAACTACCTAGATACAGCCACATTCAATCTGATTTTATTGAGGTTCTAAATAACAGGTTTATTGTATTATTCCATTATTATTGCAAAACTAAGAAGTATCTCAATCTAACCTGGTTCAGTGCTTTTTTAAAAGGTATGAAATTATTTCCAAGTTCATTAGAAACCATAAGGATAAGAAAAACTTGATGTCTTGCCTGTACCCACTGTAATAATGACTAAAAACTCAATGTCTTGTCTGTACCCACTGTAATAATGACTGGAATATTTATCTGGTACTATAGGATTTAAAGCAACTCCATACAATGTTCTACTGCACACATCATAATTTCTCCATTTATCTAACACAATGGATATTCTAGCAATTCAATTTATTGTTATGTTAAAAATTAAAAACCTAATTTTATCTGCTATAAAGACCTTATAGTAATGCAATACACTGTTACATTACAAATAATATTACATAAAGGTTCATTTGTTATTATAGATTAATATATATATTATGGAATATCAACATATTCTTAAATTACAGACATTACGACATCGAGACTTATCAGGTATTATGTTGCTAAATCAAACACCTTGTTCACCAAATACATTTGGTTCTATAGGCCTTATTGCAACTATGTATTGCTACATTATATAAATTATTGCATCAAGGTTTATCAGTTACTACATGTATAGTAGTACCTCATGGTATTATTACATCACATAAATTATTACATTAAGGTTTATTAGTTTACTACATATCTTATAGCACCTCATGGTATTGATACATCACCAGTTATTGTATCAAGGTTTATTAGTTATTAGATGTGTTGAAGCAACTCATGGTACTGTTACATCACATAAATTATTACATTAAGGTTTATCAGTTTACTACATGTCTTGTAGCAACTCAATGTAGCAGTAACATGATAGATATTCGGGTCCATTTGATACTTATATGACTAATTAAACCAAACTTACTCCTGAGTTGGATGAGGATCTTCTAAAAAATAAGAATCCTGAAGACACTGCTCTGAGGTTATTCTCTTTGTAGGATCCATGAGTAACAGTTTTTGGAGCTAGAAAAAGAGTTAATATCCAACTGTCAAAACCTTGTTGAAAGTACATCAACCATTGTCATGACAGCAAATACTTTTTTTCCTATGTTTTTGTAGCTAATCTGATGCCATTTCCAGGAAAGTAATGAGAAGGACCACTTCTGTGGTGGGAGATCCAGGACTCCATCCTGGGTTTTCTTATCAGAAGATATGAACTAATTAATAAGTAAATATTTAGTAATAAAAAACTAATAATTAGACTTACGTGACCATATAGGCTACCTAACCATGATACAAATGCTCCTGTTTCCAAACACAGCTATTAGAACGTTATGACATAGTATAAATTGTTTTTATAATGTTAAATACTGTTTTCATGTTTTTTACCTTGTGTTGTTAAATGTGAAAATATTAAACTGTTATATCTCTAACATGTTTGTTTTCAGGTTATACGTCATGTTTCTTACCTTGTGTTACTAAATGTGAAAATATTAAACTGTTATATATCTAACATGTTTGTTTTCAGGTTATACGTCATGTTTCTTACCTTGTGTTACTAAATGTGAAAATATTAAAGTGTTATATCTCTAACATGTTTGTTTTCAGGATATACTTCATGTTTCTAACCTTGTGTTACTAAATGTGAAAATATTAAAGTGTTATATCTCTAACATGTTTGTTTTCAGGATATACTTCATGTTTCTAACCTTGTGTTACTAAATGTGAAAATATTAAACTGTTATATCTCTAACATGTTTGTTTTCAGGTTTTACTAAATCTTAATTTCACAGATAACTGAACATAAAGATTAAATTTCTAGACTACTAAATGACCTCATTTCTACACCATCACTTTTCTATATTATTTAAAGTTTAGACCAGCAACAAGGAATTTCACATTTAAATCTATGTTTTTCACATCTGTTTCTAAAAACTTTCTAAGGTAGAGACAAGATGGAGGTTGTTCATATGTACGTACTTGTAAAAAAAATCAGCAGTTATGTTAATTTTAACACCTAAAAATAAAAAGAGCACAACTCAAAAGCATCTTTTACATTGGATAAAGCTTTTCATTTCAAATTAAAATAAAACATAATTTTGCTATATAAGTGGGAACGAGAGAGAAAGTACATTACGAAGTTACCTAATGTCTCAGTACAAGAGGTATCTTAAAAACTAGTATCCTCACACTGGTACAGATTTAATTTCTTTTTTCATGCCGGATAGACTAACAACAGAATGTTTTCCACTTATGTTGAAACACAGACATGGATGAGGATTGGACAGTGTGAGACAACAGTAAGGACAGACCCTTGTCAAACAACCATGTTAAAATAGATATCTAACAGGAGAATCCATGCCGGATAGACTAACAACAGAATGTTTTCCACTTATGTTGAAACACAGACATGGATGAGGATTGGACAGTGTGAGACAACAGGAGTGTTACACATGTGAATAGTCCCAAACCCCTTGCAGGAGACTGGGCAAAATCTACACTTGAAGCTGGCATGTGGGAACAGATGGATGAAGCACCCCTGAGAGGAGGGAGTGGGAGAAAGGAAGAGGTAACGAAGGTTGTTCCTGGAGAAGGGACAGAAACCACAGTTGAGCCATCCAGAAAAGAGCCACAAGAACCAACCGACTCAGAGTGGATTGGATGAGAGAAATTACTCGGGGTAGAAGACGAATGGTAGGGTATGCATAAAGGAAAAGTCCTTCAAATCCTGGCTGAACGCATTCACGGCCAAAGCCAAAGGATAAGGAACAAAAGAGAGGAAATTTGGCATTCAAATGAGACCAAGTTTGGGAGTATCAAACTGTGAACATAGCCATCAAAATACCTGTATGTCAAGAAACCACTCCATGTTGGCATGGGACAGACAATGTGCAACAAGACTGAGTTAGGTGTTACAGTTAATAAAGAAGGGGAGGGATCAAATGACATGGGTGACAAAGACAAAACACAGCATACCTGTGATATCAAATCTAAATATGGTGACTGAGGTCTAGGTGCTTCAACAGGCTGAGAATGTGCCTGCACAGCAAAGGAATGGGAGGGAAGCTGTCCAAGTCTGCATCATCCTGATCAAAGTCCTCAGAATTGCTTGTAGATTGGGAGATCCCTTGGTCTGCATGAAAGAAGCCATCTCCCGATGAACTACAGCTTACATTTCCTCTGCCAATAACACCACATCTGCAGCCATTGTCACGGGCTGTTGAATGCAGGTACCTTCGGTAGCCATTGCCGTCATAATAGTAAATCGTGAATTCAAAAATATTGACTGACTACCAGTAATTGAGTGAGAAATAGAATTCAAAATTGAATAAAGAAATCCAGATTGATAGTGGATTATAAACAATATTTTCAAATGCAAAAATCAATAATTGAATATTTTCAAAACACACACACACAAAAAAACTGTCTTAACTCTGTTGTGCCAAATCAAGAATTGAAGATTGGATTTAATTGCATGGAGGGAGACAGATGCAATAGGAGGGTGTGTCGAACTCCTACTGGTGGAGGGTTGTCACATGCTAACTTGCATGCTTAAATGCAGTTGAGCCATGTGGAATTAGGTGGGAGTTCAAGGCTGATGGTAAGTGAAAATTTGAGCATTAGAGGGTAGTCAAGTCGAGAATAGCCGTAACTGTTAGTGGAGATAAGTAATCATTTCGGAAGTAGATCATGGGAGGTAGTTAATAAAACTTTCATCATGAAGTTCCAGTTCTTAATTTATCCGTATAAAGACTACATATCTGTTAGGAATGCATAATGAAACCTAAGTCCATATATATAGGAGCAAAGCATCAATAGTGCATGGAAGTGCACCAACAACTTTGAAACACTGTATACTGTATATGATTAATATTTTTGTGGCTGTTACATTGCTTGAATGTTAATGTATGTCCACTCTCCCAGTTGACTTATTAAGATTATTAAAGCTCTTCTTACATGAATACTAGTCATACATGTTTATTGAAACATAATTGGACTAGGTAGTAGTTTATCTACAATTTTGACTGATGGCGACAGTTCTTCATAGCATTTTTATCCTATGGCAGCAACTCGGTAAACAGCAGGTGCAAGCTGTGAGAAACTCAACTTTTATAATGTTATGAGGTACAGAAGAGGAAATATCTTTCAGGAAGAATAATAGTTTTTTTTTTCATTTAAGGTTCAGAGAAGGTTCATTCATTTATATAAAAGGGTTTTCTCTTTTGGTTTGGCCTTTAGTGTTTTCTGGAATAAGTAAGAAGCACACTGAGTTATAAATATTAGTTTCATTTGATCATATTTTAAGTCAGAGTCATCCTCTGATTTCACTTTAAAACTCTTCAGCTTCCGAGGATCAACACTGTTCTTAGACCCAAACTCATTTTCCCCATCATGGGTGGAGAGATATAAGAAATAAGGTTGGAGTTTTTCTTCCAAATTACACTTGCAAAACTATATGTTTTTGACTAGTTGTCAGAAATTGTATATACTTGAACAATATTGATTGAATGTGTCCCCAAAAAAGAAGTAAACATATATAATGACATTCATGAATATCCTTGGGTGTTACATCATAGCTTGTTTATTGTTGTTGTTTTAACTGTATTGATAACTTTATCATCTGAAGTTTCGTATGGTGGAACTTATAAAACTTAAGTACACAACTAACCTACTGAAAACATCCAACTTTATACAGCATATTAACTCTGAAGTACAAACTACCAATCTGTTCTTCAATAAGAAGAGTTTCTACACCGCAAATGGTATAGAGTTTAAATCTTCTACAGACTTTCAACCTTTAGAAACCCAAACAAGCATACACAAATATATAATTATTCTAATTTTTGGAAAACATTATTAACACGTCAATATAAAAATGATTAAATATTAATAAACATAAAAAAACCTGATATGTTTCGACAGGCCAAATTTATCATTCTCAAGGGACAGAATAAAACTGTTCTCAGAATCTTGTATGTTCAGATTCAAAATGGTCCCAAATGATCAACATTAACCCTTGTGCTGTGTAGTTTTGATATACCCAAATATACATTTATACCCACTGACTGCCAAATTCAGATTTACCCCATGGCTACCAAAAAAAAAATGTTTCCCTCTACTTGACATCCGGGAATATCCCCTGTACTTTAAACAATCACCAAACCTGCTTGCATGCTGCCATCTGTGTTCTATGTCGTGAAACCTGGATTTTTATATGCCTCATTACAAAATTGCCAACTTTGCAGGAACACATATAGAATCTGTATAAATATAGCTTCTTTATATTTTGGATATTGTTATCTAAATATTTTGTAATAATTTTGGCCTCTTATTGACTTAGTTTTGCCTATATTGATGCTACTTACTGGAGAACACTTTTCTTCTAATTTCTTCAATTTTTTGTTTAAATCATTATTTTTCACTATCCAATACAGTTTTCAAGGAATATTACTGTCAGATATAGAAAATACAGCTTCTTTCAATATTGAAAAAGTAATACAAAGGGTCAAATTCATACTTTTTATTTTTTGGTGGATAATCAACACTGATTATCAGCTTGAAAATTAATTGCACAGTGAAAGGCTTAACTAACAAGTTATAAAAAGTGCAAAAACTAGTTAGAAAAAATATAGGGTTGAGTCCAAATCTTATTTCATTATGTAGCATGTCTCTACTTCTAAATATTTCTACCAATTCTTATGTTGCAATGATGGAAGAATTTTGGTTCAGCAATGATTTTTGACTGACTGAAATGAATTATTCAGATTCCATCTGCAGACAGTAGCCTTCACGTTTATTTACTCTACCTGAAGGAGCTTTTGTTTGAACAATATAATCAAGATTACGAGAGCAAGGAAGGGAATAAATGTATATCTTTGGCAGTCTTTCAGTAAACATTACAAGTCTTTAAAATACAAAAAATCATATTTTTTAGTGAAGTATTTTTAATAAACTAAAAAAAGATCTGTCCTTGAATACATTGAGTATTTGTTTTGAATAGAATGTGTGTAAATTGATTTTCATGTTAAGATTAAAAATACTTTTCTTCATCTCAAAATTCATTTGTATAATCTTTAAAACCTTCTAAATACATTTCAAATGTTGGTTTTCAGTAAAACTTTATTTTATCTGTTATTTTCTCCACCCTCGTAACCACCAAAAAATCTAAGTTACCCTCTTTTTCTTTCTAGAATGACTTCAAATTTAACTACATTTGATCATCCTAAGTAGCTTTAAACTCGTAGCAGTATACATCTATTTATAATTGTTTGTTTGTTTGTTATGAATTTTGGACATACACGCGCTGTCTGTACAGTGTAACAAAATATTGTTGTTACAATCTGAATACATATCTGTGGTGAGAAACATATTGACATCCTTCGTTTGAGAAATAATATTTGCACTATTAATAAAAATCATCCTTACATAGTTAGATTTGTTTGTTTTGAATTTCGCGCAAAGCTACACGAGGGCTATCTGCGCTAGCCATCCCTAATTTAGCGTAAGACTAGAGGGAAGGCAGCTAATCATCACCACCCACCGCCAACCCTTGGGCTACTCTTTTACCAACAAATAGTGGGATTGACCATAAAATTATAATACCCACCATGACTGAAAGGGTGAGCATGTTTGGTATGACAGGGATTTGAGCCCACAACCCACAGATTGCGAGTCGAGCACCCTAACCACTATTTATAATTACATTTTATTGTTTTATTTCCCTTTAAACAGTATCTAACTACTATTTGTGCCATTATAAGTTGTAAATCACTTGGGGAACGTGCAGCTCACATTATGGTATTGAATTACTTTACCTACAAGCTGCTTGTGTGCCTCGTGAAACGTTTTTATTATATTATCATTATTATCTATTTTACCTAATCTAACCTTAACTAGCCTAAAGGTATCCCTATTTTTACATTTTAGTTACTACTGCTATAATAATAATAAATAAATAACAAACATGAAAAATAAGAAATAAAGTACTTATCCTAGTATTATTTTTTTTTTGCTGTTGGTTGTCGATGACACTTAACCCTACTTTTTTTATTTAATTACATAATACACCAAAGAACATAGAATAATAACATAAAAAAAGCAGACAATTTCCTCTCACAATCACAATGTTTCTGGCTTTCTAACTACACCACAAGAAACCTTACAAATTCATCCAAGCTAGAAGGTGTCTTTCCCGTGGGAACTAAGCTTGTACTACAAGTAAAACTGACAATTATCTGTTCAGAACACAACATAATATAATACATCATTTGATAGATGAAAACCTTGGCTTTCTATTGGTTTTTGATGATATATAATTAAACGTAAGAGAGAACTATTAACAAATCTTGAAAGACAGGATTTGACTGGTGGGTGTGGCAAGAGGGGGTCTGATTTTCTATTTGATAGCTCTGTAACCAAACAAAAATTGAAGTCTAAAAAAATTATGGTTTGTCTGAGCAATGAAGATTTTATAACGAGTAATTTATGTTTCATTTTGTAATTATTGGAGGGGTGGTGTATAAAATAGAGAAGAGGACATACCTAGAGAAAATGTGTCATGTGTGTCACACTAAGGGAAATTCAGGATTTTTTAAAATATTGCCTTATAAAATTAAGAACTTAAACTTATATACTATTCAAATATGGATTATTAGCTACAATTTTATGCTATACTAATTGATATAACATAATAGTTCAATAAAATTTCGAATGTAAGACACTAAATCCTTGGGTCATGCGCAGTAAAGGATGCCCATGATGATAGGGTTAACATACAAGATTCTGAGAATAGTTTAACTCCATCCCTTAAGAATGACAAGCTTGGTCTGCTAAAACTAGTCACTGATTTTTTGTATGTTGTTAATTATTCAATTATTTGTGCATTAGCATGCCGGTGTGTTATCACTGTATTTATGAATTTTCACATAGTATTTCTCCTTCGTTAAATATTCTTGTTATCTCATCATATGACAGAAAATATTAACTTACCAATAAGAAAGCTTTAGAGTCTTGTTTAACTTTGTGTTTCTCCATATACTTAATCAGAGAACAGCTAGAATATCTAAAGAAAAAAATATTTCCTGGTACACTTGATTTCATGGTTCTTTTAGAAAAACAATATTTTTAAATTACAGTCTCACACTCTACAGTATTAGTAAGTATTAGTTAAGTTACACATAACACATCAGTTTCATAAATTGTCCTGAATCTCAAAGCCTCACAGTAATAAGCTACACATTGCATACATGTCACATAACATGTAAGGCAATATCATACAATTCTACTGAAAACCTTATTACAATGGAAAATCCACACTAAAATTATTTACAGTTCTTCAGGAAAACATATAAATGATAGAAAATATTTGTAAAAAAGTTATGTTATCGATTAGTAACATCTCTGATAACAAAAAACTGTTTAAGTGGATACTGTTAACTACACTACATTAAATCATTGCTTAATGAACAAGTGCTGATACTTACTGTGTCTTTTTGAAATCTTTTAATAGAGTTCCATGTTCAGGCATTTTCTTTATATCCTCCCATTCTTTTTCTATAAAAACATATAAAGGTAACTTTAAAACAAATTTTAATTTCTAAGTAAAATGATGAAACTGTCTTTATATTTTCCTATTCTTTTCCAAAAAAGATTGCGTAAAAAGTGAATTCTATCTCGAATAAATTCATGACAGTTCTAGAAACTCAAATTCTGAAAAACCTGAATCTAGAAAAAACACCACAGGCTCTGTTCTGAAATATAGGAAAGCATGTAATAAATTCTAGCAATATGGTAAAGAAAAAAAACCTTGAGGAAATCCCATGACACTGAATATCCTATCCAGTTGATCATGATGATATGGATTACTAGTTTTGATATCTTCTTGTCGACAGTGAAATATTGGTTCAGAGGTCAGAAGTTCAGCAAAGATACAACCAATGGCCCATATATCTGAGGAAAAAAAAATTACATTTTACTATTAGGCTAAAAATTATATGAGAATTATCGATAAAAATATCTGTCAGGAAGTTATTAATATTTTAACAATAAGGTAACCCTGAAGTTATAACATGATGACATAATGATGTAACTACTTTTAGAACAATATGACTTCATTAGACTGCAACTGAAAGTCATATGTTTAACATGATGACATAATGATGTAACTACTTTTAGAACAATATGACTTCATAAGACTGCAACTGAAAGTCATGTTTAACATGATGACATAATGATGTAACTACTTTTAGAACAATATGACTTCATAAGACTGCAACTGAAAGTCATATGTTAGGGTGAAACAAAAAAATTCTTTCCATTACTGAAATAGATAATATCAGACCTGCAAAAGAAACTTAATACTATATATATCTATAAAGCTTTTATTGTTCTCAATTAGTTTTTGACAACACTAACTAAAGTTTCAGAATAAGCGCTCTTTGGAAGCAAGAAAAAGATGTCTTACACAACAATATTTAAATTATAATAATATACATTAAGCATAACATCTTAACAAAGTAAGGGATGTCTTACATTACAATTATATAAATTATAATAATATACATTAAGAATAACATCTTAACAGAGAAAGGGATGTCTACATTACAATTATATAAATTATAATATAAATTAAGAATAACATCTTAACAAAGTAAGGGATGTCTTACATTACAATTATATAAATTATAATAATAGATTAAGAATAACATCTTAACAAAGAAAGGATGTCTACAGAACAATTATATAAATTATAATAATATATATTAAGAATAACATCTTAATTAAGTAAGGGATGTCTTACATAACAATTACATAAATTATAATAATGTACATCAAGAATAACATCTTAACAAAGTAAGGATGTCTTACATTACAATTATATAAATTATAATAATATACATAAAGAATAACATCTAAGAAAGAAAAGGATGTCTTACATTACAATTATATAAATTATAATAATATACATTAAGAATAACATCTTAACCAAGAAATGGATGTCTACATAACAATTACATGAATTATAATGATGTACATCAAGAATAACATCTTAATCAAGAAAGAAATGTCTACATAACAATTACATGAATTATAATGATGTACATCAAGAATAACATATAAAAAAATTAAGAAAGGTATATGTACATCTTCTTTTGATCTATTTCATTTTTTTTTGTCTAAGAGACAAAACTTCAATATTCCTCAACCTTTACTGAATGCACGTGTTTTGAGTGAAGTTTTTATAAATGGAAGTATATTTATATGACTTAAATGGTAATTAAACATCATAACACTCCATAACTTTATTTATATAAACACAGATTAATGGTGCTTTACCTATTGCTTTGGTGTAATGCCTTGCTCCAAGCAGAAGTTCAGGAGCTCTATACCAAAATGTCACTACAACAGGATCAAGATCAGCCAGGGGTTTCAGGGGAGAATTGAAGAGCCTAGCAAATCCCATATCAGCTGTGCAAACATATGTTAATAGCATATCAAAAATTATTCCACTAACGATACTAGGAATGAGATATAATAATGATGAAAAAGTAAATCACCAAAAAAAAGGTCAAAAATAGATCCTGCAGGAGCTTTCAACGAAATCAGACATTAAACAGTTCCTACAGGAGCTTTCAAATACACTAGACATTAAACAGTTCTTACACGAGCTACAAAATATATAAGACATTAAACAGTTCCTACAAAAGCTTTCAAATACACTATAAGTTAAATGTTCCAACATTTGATTTCAAATACACTAGACAATAACTAATACCTAAGTGTGATTTCAAATACACTAGAAATTAAACAGCTCTTACATAAGTTTTCAAATAAGCTTAATATTAAAAAGTTCGCACATGTGACTTCAAACACACCAAAAAAAAATAGTTCCTACATAAGCTTTAAAATACACTATACTTAAACAGTTCCACACAAACTTTCAAATAAACTAGACATTAAGCAGTTCTTACAGGAGCTATCAAATACACTAGGCCAGCATTTCCCAAACTTTTTTGGCCACTGAACACTTTTCAGCTGAGAAAAAGCTTATGGAACACTAGATTCATGAAATATCAGTGTAGAGGGTATGTTGCATGTGCAGCGCCCTCTATATTTGTATATTATTCATTTATTTATTTAATCAAATTACATATTAATGAATTTTTACATTTTTATGCTTATAACATATTTTAGGTACAAACCTCTCCACTAAGATATTATGTAGAATAGATATGGCATCTTCTATAATTCTTCTTCAATGTGAAATCGATATTATCTAATTCTAATACATAGGTAAATATTTATGATTGTACAAAAAGTGTTAAATATTTAAGTAAAATTTAAAATCATGATTTTTCCCGCAGAGCACCTATCAGTCTTTGATGGAAGACCAATAAATAGTTCCTGCATGAGGTCTCACATACACTAGACATTAAACAGATCCTACATTAGCTTTCAAATACACTGGACAATAAATAGTTCCTGCAGGAGCTTTCAAATACACTAGATAATAAATAGTTCCTGCATGAACTTTCAAATACACTGACAATAAATAGTTCCTGCAGGAGCTTTCAAATACACTAGACAATAAATAGTTCCTGCATGAGCTGTCAAATACAGTAGACAATAAATAGTTCCTGCACGAGCTTTCAAATACACTAGACAATAAATAGTTCCTGCATGAGCTGTCAAATACAGTAGACAATAAATAGTTCCTGCATGAGCTGTCACATACACTAGACATTAAACAGATCCTACATTAGCTTTCAAAAACACTGGACAATAAAAAGTTCCTGCATGAGCTGTCACGTACACTAGACATTAAACAGATCCTACATTAGATTTCAAAAACACTAATAATCCATATTTTAATTACAAATAATTTTATAAGGCAATGTTTAACAAAATCCTAAATTTTCTCTAGGCATCTCCCCTTCTCTATTGTATTCACCACCCCTCCAATAAGTACAAAATTCAACATAAATTACTCACAATAAAATCGTCTTTACTCAGACAAACAATAATTTTTATACCCAATTTTGATTGGTTACAAAGCCATCAAATAGAAAATAAAACCCATATTGCCACACCCACCCGACACATCCTCTCTTTGAGGATTTGTTAATAGTTCTCTCTTACGTTTAATTCTGTATTTTCTATAACCTATAGAAAGCCAAGGTTTTCATCTATCAAATGATGTATTATGTGACATTGTTTTGTGAATGGAGAATTGTCAGTTTCACTGCTGGTACAAGCTTCATTCTCACATGAATGATAACGATTAGCTTGGATAATTTTGTAACAGTTCTTGTCGCATAGTTAGAAAGCCAGACAAACTATGATAGTTAGGGTAAATTGTCTATTTTTTGCATGTTATTATTTTATGTTCTTTGATTCCTTATTTAATTAAACAAAAAATTATTTAGTGCATTACTACCATTAATATAAAAAAGTAGGGTTAAGCGTCATCGACAATCAACAGCATGAAGAAACGAAGACTCGGCTTAGTACCTTGTTTCTTATTTTTAATATTTATTCTTCATTTATTATTATAATACGGATCTCTTTAGGTTAGATAACGTTATATTAGGTAAAATAAATAATTATAATAATATAATAAAAATGTCTCATGAGGCACGCATGCAAGTAGCTCGTGGGTAAAGTAATTCAATAGGGGGAACAAATTTACCAACCTTGTATAGAGTAGGGTAGAGAAAATAACAGATAAAATATAAAGTTTTACTGCAAACAAACAACTGAAATATATTTAAGAGGTTATAGAGATTACACAAATCAAATCTGAAATTTTTGAGATGAAGAAAAGTATTCTTAATCTTAACATGAAAATCACTTTGCACGCAAACTATTCAAAACAAATACTCGATATATTCACGGACATATCTTTTTTAGGATATTTAAAATATTTCACTAAAATAATATGATTTTTTGTATGTGAATAACTGTGAAATTTTGTGAAGGTATACAATACATACTATATTAAACGTTAGTAGTATCAAATCTATAAAGACTATATACAAGTACACAGAGGTCACATGGTCGGTCAAATCGATCAAGCCCTTATTGAAAGAGTTAAATAGTTCCTACATGAGCTTTCCAATAAAAAAAGACATTAAAGAGTTCCTACATGAGCTTCAAAATACATTAGGCATTAAACAGTTCCAACAAAAGCATTCAAATACACTAAACATTAAACAGTTCCTACACACATTCTTTACACTTATGTTACATTACCCCGTGGGTTACCACAGTTGTATCTTGAACCTTAAATAATTGTTTCCATTTTGTAAAAGTCCACACAGGCTGGGTTCAATTACTGTAGATTGTTTGTTTGTTTGTAATTAAGCACAAAGCTTCACAATGGGCTATCTGTGCG